CCCAAGACACTGAGCAGAGCATGCACAGGAAAATCCAAACTGTGTTTGTGTCTGTGTGTTTGTGTGTGTGTGTGTGTGTGTGTATGTCTGTGTCTGTGTCTGTGTGTGTTTGTATTCTGACAGGATGCCAAAGCCCAGCTGATCTCTCAGTAAATATGGACATATGGTCAGCCTCTGTAGGGAGAGGCAGATAGAGACAGAGCATCCGAGGATGACACGGAGATGGTTCTTGGCACATTTCCCTTATCTGTCCGCAGGGAGACCGCAGCAGGCGGAGACATCTTATCCACCCAGGACATGTGTTCCTTTCCCAGAGCTGAAGCGTTTAGCCTTTTTGACTTTTCACTTCTCCGCGGGGGGCAGGTCAGAGTTGTCCACTCTTGGTTGCATAACGATCAGATTATTACAGGATGAAAACAAGGGAATTGTTGTTGTCAGACTGAGTAGTTAGTTATGTAAGTTTCACAGAGCTGGTTGACGAACTGATGCGAATTGTGGGCATCATGTGATGAGGTGGTCAAAACAAGAACTGTGAATGTTGGAACAAACTCTTGCAGCTATAGTCATCTTTGATCTGTGTTTTTTTTTTTATATCAGCGCCCAAACCCAGGAGTTTTGCCCTCCTGTCCTTGCTGAATTTTATTTTTCAATCAGCACTATAGAGAATCCAGTCGGCTAAAATGTTGACACATATAAGCTGTGCCCCAATTCATGGGCCACATCCTTCGCAGGACATGGTTCATGAAGGTGTTGCCTTTGCAGCCGTCGTAGACCACAAAGGCCGAACCGAAATGAGACGGCCTGACTCTGATTTCTGCTTTTCAGAACCAGCTGTGCCGGCCCTTACCGTTGCGTCACAAAGCGCTGCTGCTGTTGCTTAGCAACCTTAACAACAAGTAACTTTTTTTCACAAAAACTTGAGTTGTATCGTTAGCTGTTGAACTGAGCTGAAACCCAATACTTACACTTAAAAGTGTAATCCTCTGTCTGTTGGTGTTGTTTGCTGCCATATTAGTTTCATTACAGGCGCGCAATGAATCTTGGGATAGGTTGGACCATGAAGGATACACCCATTAGAAGGAAAAGAAGGCCACATCTCTCAGCCACATTTGAAATGGGACAGCCTGGTCCACTGCTGTGACACAATCGGTCTTCAAATGCAGCCTCTGAAGGATGCAGCCTCTGAACTGGGACACAGCTATAGCTGTACCATCCCTGCTTCAGTTCTGACATTGTTGTCCTCATGTCTGTAACTACACTTACAATACACACTACCCAAAAAGAATAAATTGCATAAAGCTAAAACTGTGAGACAGGATGTTGGTTAATTATCTTTTTGCAAAACAAAAATGAGACAAAAACTATAAATAAGAGGTCACTTTTGAAGACGAGAACCATGACAAAATATACTACATTTTTTATTATAACACAAAAACAAATGGGTGTAATATGTAGGCTTTTACGTTTATGAGTTTTATTCACTGACCCTCATTTACCTGTTGAACTACAAATTGTAGTCATGTTACAGAAACTTCCCATCTGAAGTTTTAAGTTAATATAGGAAGAGTATAAGAGAGGAGTTTTCCTGCACTAGTATGACAGAAGCAAATCCAAGCTAACTTTAGGAATCCATCTTATCTTACTTCATCCTCTCTTATCTCTTTGGTCGTGTAGATGCAATAAAAGAGCAGCGATATGGATGAAACAAGGCAGTTAAGTGGTGGAAAAGTTAAAGTTGCCAGAGTTTATTTAACATTTGGGGAAGATGGCAAATTTGTGTAATACACTTTTCCTATCTTCAGTCAGGATAAAAACATTAACTTAAGAACTGTTTATCTGTAATGGCTTTTTTCCTAAATCAGGTCCTAACCCTAATCACCATGGTAACCAAACAGTTATGAAAGGATCTGCAAGTTTGAAAATAATACAGCCCCTGATTCATAAAACTGTGTCCTCCAGCTCCCAACAAATATCTCTTCTTCTGAGGTTTATTTAGCTGCTTTAGTGCCAGTACTGTTAGCTAACATTACCACTAACAGTAGCACAGTAAGTGACAGATTTATAGACTAAATACATCCTCAGTCCCACTGGGAATTAGACAAGAAGCAGCAACAGAAGAGCTGAGTGCAGAGGTACTGATTTCACTTACTGGACATTTAACGTTTCCATATGCATAAAATCACTGTCAGTCTTGCAGCAGCTGTCATTTTCCCCAGTATCTCTCTCTTCTTCCCATTTCTACCTCCCTCCAGCAACTTCCTCTCTCTTCCTCTCGTCCTCTTCCATTTCTGAGCTTTTAAACTGCTGCGATCTGTCGGGCTTTCAGATCTCAGCATCTCTCTCTCCCCTCTGTGTTGCTGGCTGTTAATCAGAGCTGCCTGGGACATCAGGCGGCTGCTGTCATGATGCCCAGCCCCAGGCTCCAGGCAGCAATATTTATCATTTTCAACAGCGTTCTCCACTCCACCACACTTCTCCAATCCTCTGGCCACCCACGTCCTCAAAACCAGCAAATGAAGGCCACGTTCTGGAGGGGATCATGCATGTGGTGATGTCATGATGTAAAGGGGCTCTGATTTCTGACAAGTGGTCGCAGGCCTGAAGGAGGCACGAGCCAAAGTCCAGCTCAGTGACTGTACGACTCGGATAGAAACCACCAAATATCAGAAGTGCTCATCAGAGGTAGCAGTTAATCCTGGCAGTGGGTCTGTGCTGAGAAGGAAAACTGAATCTGATCTCAAACTGTTCAGACACCTAAGGTCGTTTAGGACTCTTGAATCAAACAAGTTGTATTATGGGAAATGTAGGATCCAGTATTTTTGGATGTCTCTGACTTTGTTGCTTTGATTTCGATCACTTGTTTTTCCTTGTATGTTTGAAAGAAGTGGCTTTGAGAAGTTAAGATTCAATTCCAGAATAATGTCCACTTCTCAAACCTATGCTGGCTGCATCTTTTAATCTGTATTTAGAAGCTACAAACTCATTCAGCTTTCAAACCAACAGGAGTGTTACTGTAATCCTCCTGGTCCTTTCTCATTTCCATGTTTCTGCCTAAACTTACATGTGCTATGAACGGCTACAGCTTCAGTAGCCAAAGTGCCCCTTTCACACTCAGTCATTTTACCCTCCGTGCCCTACAACAGTGTGTTTTATTGAGCAGTCGCTCTCTTAAAGAGGGTCCAGAGCTGGGAAACAGGGTGTGGTATTGAGGAGAAGGTGGAGGGTGGCGTCATCACAACAGCCCACCAGACTGCACTCTGCGGCTCACAGTAACACAACTTGTGTAGTTTCATGACAGAGCCTTAATGAAAGACTGCGAGTCCGAGACTGGAGTGAGAGTTTGTCTGCATGTCCGCATTTTGCCGTGTAAATAATGCAGCAGTCGAACACGATCAAAGTAAACAAAAACCATCCAGGGGAGCTCTGTGAAAGTGCTGCGTGTCAATTATTGATGCTGAAATAAGATTTGACGAGCCAAACACCTGCCTGTGCTGAACTGGACCAGCACCAGATTTCACATCATCAAGACCAGGACTTGGCGGTGGCACTTCATAAACTCCCAAAACACTAGAGAAAGGGAGGAGTGGCAGTTTGCAGCCAAATGCTGGAACCAGGAGGGTCTGTCATCATGTTTACAGTCGACTTCAAAGGCTAGAAAAATAAGACAAACAGTAAACAGGAACATAAGTTTAACATTTTTTATTAACTGTTTAGAATACACCATGGTAAAGCATTTTGGATCTTCACTTGTAGACTCTTTGGGCATCCAGTGCCAGATTCAACAGCACACTTTGTTCACTGTCGCTGCTGTCGTGTTCTCCAGCCCTCTGATCTTTGCTGCTCTCCATCTACCTGTGACAGGTACAGGTACGAAGAGGAAAAAAAAAAAAAAAAAAAAACCCTGGCTGGTGCTGTAACTGAATATCCTGAAAAGTTAAAAAGAGCTCGATGCAGAGGGTGGAGAGCTTGTTCCCACAGCGACAAACAGGAAGTCAAATAAATACACAAGTCTCACGTTCTGTAGCGCCCCCCCCCCCGCCGCCGCCTCCCCGCAGGGCAGCAGGGCACATGTAGCATTCCTCTGTTTACAACATCCACACTTGTGACTGGTGCCTGTGTTTGCATGTGTTTAAATGTGATCCTACATATACTGTAGTTGTAGATGCGATCAGATTGCACTTAAAAAGCAAAAAGATTGAATTCTGTACACACTCGTCCAATATTAAAAATACATTAAATTACATTTTCCAAATAAATATTGGTCCATTTTCATTAGTATGCCAAGTACATCTTCCTGAGACACTTTCGTAGCTACAAACATATTTATACACCATAGATATATCTTTTTTTAAATCCATGATCTATACTCTTATCAGTCTTCCTTTTACCCATCCTTTGATTTTCTCTCCATCTCTCTGGAGGCAAAATAACTCTTCATGCTACACTTACTTCAACCATCAACTTGAGATCATCCCTTATCATATGACTTGCTCTCTCATCCGTGCCAAGACATACATAGTAAACAGATTTCTCTGGCTGCACCAGCGCAGCGTAATCCAAGACGTGAAACCTTGTTTCACATGCAAACGCACAGCGAGACATTGTTACAGTCAGACATACAGACACCACTGACTGCAGCTGCTACCGTATTTACTGACCTGAATGTACACCTGTGCTGTGAAGTGATTACTTGTGTGAGAGTAATACGTGTGCTTTGTTGAGATGACATACCCTTAAGTAGATGTATACAAATGGTTCACTCACATGCTGACAAAAACTTGTATAATAACAGTCTTACAGCCAAAATGTTTTTTTGAAAATACAAATGCGTTTATGGAAGCTTTTTTTGTGAAGTTTCACAGTATCAACGTGGTTCTCTTCCTGGCTTGCTCAACAGTCACCACACTGTAGCAGTGTGTACACACACACACACACACACACACACACACACACACACACACACACACAAACAAACACACACGCATACATACATACATACATTAAGTACCTTTACATGAGGAACCACAATCGCAAACATCATCTGGCTTCATCCCCACCATCATCATTTATACCAGTCTATTATTGCTTTCGTATACCAATGTTGTTACACAAGATCAAGTGAAGAACAAGGGGAAATGTATCGTCCATCTAGTCTTGCAGGGAGGCAGTCCTGACTTGCAGCCCAGATAAGAATTTTCCAAAAACAAAAGTCTTCACAGGAAACAGAAAAAAAACAGCTACTGGATTATCCATAAACTTGATGTAAGGCAGCAGAAGATCAACAGACGGGTATCCCTTCTTCTACGTGTGTGTACGTACAAAAAGTACTGCGTCCCTGTTTTTTTCTGTGAAGTCTTTTCAAGTCCTCATTAGTCTATACGTTAGAGACAGCGTTGTTAGCATCTCGCGCCTGACGGATGCCGTACAGCCATTTGATGACTCGAGCGTTCCTCTCGATGACGGAGATGCCGTAGGGGACCCGGTCGTTGGCTCTGGCAGGCCCGTCCTCGTCGTCCTCGTCCTCCCTCGCCCGGTCAGCCTCGTCTCCGCACTCTGAGCTAGGCGTGCTGACGCTGCGGAGCTTGGAGACGGACACAATGTCTGAGTTGGCTCTCGTGAAGCGCTCCACTCCGCCCATCCCCTCCACCTCCTCTGGGTCCAGCCCGCAGTAGTTGAAGAACCGCTCCAGGTCGGCTGTTGCGCGGGAGTAGCGGTCGCTCAGGTCCGATTTGGAGCGGTGCAAGGATGGGTGCTTGCGGGCGGACCCCTTGGAGCTGGCGTTTGATATACGGGTGAAAGCGGGGGAGGCCGGTGGGATCATGCCCGCTCGGACCAGCATGGGACTGGGCGGCAGGTAGACCGGAGGGCAGGGCAGGGTTTGGGAGGGGGTGTTGAGCTGAGGATGAGGTTGGGGTTGGCTGTGAGAGGGTGCAGGCGGTGGAGGAGGGGGAACCTGGGGGTGTGCAACTTGGCCTTGGGGAGTCTGTCTGGGCCTGAGCTGGGGCTGCAGCTGGGCCCTCTGGGGCTTCCTTATCTCCGCTTGAGGCCGGACATCCACCCTGCGCACCGTCACCGAGTTAGGGGAGCTATAGGGGGCTGGAACCCCGATGCGAGGTGCTCGTGCCGGGATAGGGGGTGGACGTCGGGTGAGTTCTGCTGCAGGGGTCCGGAGGTTGTTATTGAGCGGAGAGGAAGTTGAGGAAGAGGTGGATGACGAGTTGGTGGTGCCATGATTCAAAGGTTTGAGGTTGTTGAGGAGTCGGTTGCTCCTCTCCTGTTCTGCTGACAGGCTACTCCCGATGCTCTTAGCTCCCGATGAAGGAGACGATGAGGAGGGGGAGGTGGAGGAAGAGGACTGGGAAGAGGGCAATGGTCCATCACATACATCATTGATTAGATTATTCAGAATATCCAAGTTAAGAGCAGGTCCTCTCCTCCCTACTGGACCCTCTCTCCCTCCTCCATTCTCCACGTCCGCCGGGCAGCGGGGAACTTTGCGGGCTGGAGGAGTGCTGATCTGGCACTGGAGCATCATTCCCGGAGGAACCAGGGGCTTGCGGATGATTGGTGGTTTGATGGGAGCCTGACGAGTGAGGGCCACCTGCTGGCTCTTAACGTACTTGGCCTTGTCAGCCTCCAGACGCTCCACCGCGCTCAGTTTACGGGCCCCGGGCTCAGCCTGGCGGCGGAAGTAATCTGGGCCCTTGTTAAGTATCCTGAAGGGCATGGCAGAGGTGAAGGGAACTCCGGCCAGACGGCCATCTGACGGCCGCAGGGTCTCCACCGGCATTCTGGAGGAGCTGAAGGAGAGAAAAAGATTTTCAGTCAAATGGTTTTTCAAACAGAATTATGTGCAAAGAGACAAAGAGTGAATGAGCAAGAGCTGACGGAAAGACTAAGTGACTGATTTCTTCACTGTATTTATTGTGCTAAGTGTAAATAAGTGTTTTATAGCTTTATGTTGTGCGCATGAGGAGGTGTAAGGTAATGTGACCTGACAGACGGAGAGCTGGGTGCAAGTGGGGCTTTAATGGTCAACGCACATCCTTTTAGAGCTCCCACATGTCCTCTCTAAGCTTAAGAAAATAGCTCTTTTGTACTCTCTCTTTTCTTCCCACTCTCCTCCCCCACCTCCCAGCCTTGCACCCTCGCTCCCAGAACCCCCTTTAACTTCCTTACCGGTTGCTGTGCTGCTGCTCTCACTTCTCTCCTTTTCTTCTCCGTCGCCCCTCTTGCTCTTTTATCCTTCCTTTTTCCCCAGTCCGGGATCAGTGAAAGGCTACTTGTGGGACAGGGTCAGTCGAGGTCAAATTCCACATCAGGCCCGGCCGGACCACCTCTATTGGCACAGCAGTGGCCCAGAAGGGGGTTAGGCTGCGGATCGGGGTCACCGGTCAGCCACAGTGCAGCTGATGGGAGCTCTTTATCCAAAAAATGCAGGTCTGGTAGATCAGCCAGCAATGATACCGGCAACACGACAGCCTTTATGATCCCCCTCTTCACGGTCTCTGTCCAACTGGTCTGTTCAGCCCCCCCGTCCGCCTGTCCAGCTGTGATCACACACAAAAAGCCGGCCGGCAACTCAGCTGGAGAGTCCCACAGTCCTGGAGAGGGTTAAAAAACAGATGCAAGTCCAAGTCAGATAACGGTAGAACTCTGTGTTTTCTGTCGGTCTGTCGATTAACAAAAACATCCACACACACTGATACACACACACATTCACACACACACACGCTGCTCCGGCTAACAGACAGGCACTCTCTTCAACACTGAAGTGGAGCAGACGGGACAGGCTTTAATACCACGTCTGGCTCCTCCCAGCCGGCCAATCGCATGTCAGGCCGGGAGCCTCAGCGGGGCACGGGGAGGGGGGGCGGGGCAGTGGGCGGGAGGCATGCTCACATTGGTCCACCTCGAAAGGGATTCTGACCAATTGGACCCCTCCCCCCTTGGAGCACAACAAAACACTGAGGCAGGGTTTTCATTCAAATGAAAATTCTTTGAAAGGGAGAAAGGGTGGGGGGGGGGGGAGATAAGGGAGAGGAGGACAACGGGCAAAACAGCTGCAATTTTTTACATTGAATTGCATCAAGCTCAGTGGGGTGCTATGAAAACACTGACAAACACAGAGAGCTGCACAACTGTTCCTCCTCTATAGCTCTTTGTTTTCATCTCAGTGGAGACAACGTGTGGACAGCAGGGACACAGTAAACAATAGAGGATTATCTTATTCCTCAGTCTAATTCCGCTTTAATTTGTAGTTTAACCTTTTAGCTGGTGCTTGTAGTGCAATGATTACAGTGTCTAAAAACTGACCACAGAAATGCCACGCTTCTTTAGAGACGAGAAACAACAACAAAGACAGTGAAAGTTTTTTTTTTTTCCTGTTTCTACAACTTATCCCCCCCATTTACTCTCTGAGTTTTAAGGAGTTCAAAGCGCTGCTGACACACACACACACACACACACACACACACACAAACAATGTTCATCTATTTTCCTCTTTCTCCAAGCTCCAATTTCCCAGAAAAACAATTCTCTCCACCACCACCCCCAACACTCCTCCACTCCTCAGCACTGCTCATCCCTCCACTCCTTATCGTTTACAACATTACACTCCAGGGTTACATCACACCCAGTCAGCCTGCCCGTTTCTCCCCCCCCTCCCCCTCCTCACCTCCACCTCTAAGATATCTCTCCACACATTTTTAATTAGTCTTTTTATAGCAGTCTTCCTTTCCTGTCTCCCTCAACATGTGATCCTGTTTCCCCCACATCTCCCCTCTCTCTTTCTCTCTCTCTCTCTCATCTCTGAACAGCAGACCAGCAGCAGACAGAGAGAAAAAGCAACCATGACAGCTTACACTTGGACACACACACACACACACACACACACACTTCCTTACTTTCAGGTACTTCAAGAGCTTGAAAACTCAGAGATGTGCGCGCACAGCCGCCGCACACTTTACTTTCATCTCAACCATGTGACAGACCAAAGAAGAGTCTAAAATAGTCCAGCTTAAATTAAAAACACATTTGCATCACAGAAAATAATTATTCACAAACCTTGTGCGACCAAAAGCCTTCAGGCAAATCCTGAGGGAATACATATAGGTGGGAGAGCAAAAAATAAAATACTATTATGGAAAGGAAACACTGGAGAAAAGAGAACGCTCTGAGTGAGAAGAAAATTTCCCATCTTATAGGCAAAGAAAGGAGGGAGTGTTTAATTAGTTTCAGTCAGAGGAAAACAGAAACTCTCTGGATGAAACATACAGGAGATGAGGACGGCATCATCACAGTTCGGACTTGTGAGCCATTCAAAAGGGCTCAATGTTGTGATGATGACGAGGGAGAGAAACACGCCTGTCTTTGAACCCTCAAGCTTTAATTCGTTTTCCACTGATTTGTCATTGCACGTCTAAAAAGTCTCAAAAATCAATGCACAGACCCAGAGATATCATTTTTTTTCCTTTCCGTATCACAACCTGGCTCCTAAATTACCCATGATGCAGTTTGTGTGCTAAAGAGTTCTCCTTTAGCACACGCATTAATGTGTGTGTGTGAGGTGTCCATGAGCCCAGCACATGCTAAGCTATTATTACTTAATTATATTGAGTCTTCTCTTAGAATCTTACTTTAATTTGTATTCACTTTTTTTATGATAAAGTACGTTTTGGTAAACTTTCTCGTTACAGATGCTCAAATGCTTTTCTTAAAAAAAATCTCCTGACAAGAGGAACTACTCAGGAAACAGAAAGAAAATCCTTCAGTAACACCCTGGTACACCAGGGAAGAAAAGGCCTTCAGCCCAGCCACCACACTGAAAAACACCAGCTTCACTGCAACAGCTATAGGTAATTATAGAAATGGTTGTATATGTGTCCATTCATAGAAACTCATCCTAAAGACTTTACCAGAAATGTTGAAGACAAACGTCTGGTGGTAGAAACCTCAGCTCCCTCACGTTTAGTATGCTGAGGCCTTGTCATTACCCTCACACAGGCCTCTCCTGGAAAAAACACATCCTTTGAGTCCAGATTTAGAGCCTTTTCATGTCCACAAAGACCAATGTCTTTAATAATGGCCGATGGCTGGTTCTAAGAAAATGACAAATACTTTGACAGAGGTCCCAGTTCAATGTGTAATGGCCTAAACAGTGTACACATACTAACCTGCCCCCTTTCATGCCTTTTCAATAAAATACAATGATGTCATTTAAAGGCTCCATCTCTGCTGCTATGACACACACACTTTACTATATATAATTATTATGTATAAATCACATAAACACAAAAGAGGAAGATACTGTGTTATCATGGGTTATCTCCGCAGCTCAACTCTTTAACATACAGGTGTTAACAACAGTACAAGAGCTGTGTGCATGCAAACACACACTCACACACACCCATGTAAACCCATTTCAGCTGATAACTAGAATCCCATGATCCACTCATTATTCTGTCTCTTTGTTGCCTTACTGATCCCGACACTTCAGCCTTGATACACGATACATGGAAACTACGGGAGATGGGGAAATGGAGAGACAGTTTGAACTGCTAACAATAACTATTGTCAGTGCAGGGACTTGAAGAAAAGGTCAAATAAAAGCTGGTAAATGAATTCACACTGCATGGAGATCAGTATGTAAATGAAAACCTGGTTACCTTCCTTAAAGCTCGGCATTGAGGAGAGCCATCTAGTTATAATATTGTATATTGTTGGCCTGGATATTCCCGAATCCTAAAAACAGCAGCTATTGTCATTTATTTCCACATTGTACAGGGTCAGGGCCTAAAGCGACGGCTGCTGTGGTGCTAACGTGTGTGCTAACGTGTGTGCTAACGGCGCTGTTAAACCTCTCGCTGCCACAGAACAAGGTGCGAATTGATCAAGCATGGGTCCATGAGTCTGTGTGTGAGAATGAGTTAGCAATAACTTCCTCAGGGAAACAAAAACATCCCTCAGTCTGTTGGACTCGGTTTTTCTAACTTTCCATCTTTCATTTTTCCATTCATGTTCTGTACTGCAGTTACACAAACAGCTGATGTCTCCAGAAGCGACGAGCACGCCACAGGCACCGACCGCAGCGTCAGACCCAGGAGTGAGATTTCTATTCCACCATGGAAACTTGCTCGGGTCGATTATCACAAAACTATGCAGGCCGCTGCGTTGTTATGAATCTGACTGCTTTTGCATTCAGCTTTCCAACCACTGTATTAGAGGGTAACGATGTTTGCTGTGTGTGTGTGTGTGTGTGTGTGTGTGAGAGTGAGAGAGATTATGTTTCATAGTGACTGAGTGGGTGAGTAATATATTAGCAAGACACAGAAAGAATAGGAGGTGTGTATGTTTTTAATCCAGATTTGTTGGAACGGGTGGAAGGGGATGCTCCAGCTGAAAGGAAGAGATGACTAGCACTTTACCACAACTGACTACAGTCCTCCACCAACCAGCCTGCACAACACTAATTACAGGGAGAGCCCAAGTTTTTCTAGCACTTAGTAACTGAGTGATTGAATAAACAGCAAACATCAGCACGTGAGGAAGAGGAAAGAAAAACACGGGTCATATCTAAAAGGTTTTATACTTTTCTTTCTAGAAAATGTCCTGAAACGTGACAAATACCAAAAACAGGAAGATGCAGCAAAGGTTGTGCGACAGGAATAAAGTGCGTTAATGTGTGTGTGTGTGTGTGTGTGTGTGTGTGTGTGTTTGTGTGTGTTCTGTGACGCCAGCTGGATCGTCATATCGCAGCGGCCTTGTCCCAGCGGACATTGACCCCAGACTGTATAAAAAACAGGAGAGACCCCACCTTAAAGAGATGTCACCAGAAACCCCTCCTGTCCAGAGGGAAACTCAGAAAAAGAAGAAGAAAAAAATGTAGATAAGATAATAAGATTTCCCTTTGTGCAGATAGATGCTGGAAACAATATTCACATCCTTCAATCTTTGAGGAAAAACTCTCTGTATCATACATACTCTTTGGAAGAGTCACCTTCACCCCAAGCAGAGGGGAGGTGGTAGTTTGTGGCAAGTTAGTCAGTGGTGATTTCTCAGGTTGTTCCCCCACTGGAGGGACGAGCAGGAAGCAATGACGCATTTCACAACAGGAAACGTGTGAGAAAAAGAGCAAAATAAACCAAACGTGCTCGGTTGGAGCGTTTGTTTCTGACTGCGGGTGTGTGTGTGACCAGCAGGTTAACCCTGTTTTACAGTGACCGCAGCATCGGTACACAATGCCCGACCAGCTGCTGCAGAGAAATCACACAGCGAGGTAAACCGTGGCGCTGACTGTCTGATCGAACCACTGCTTAACAGAGATGACAACACTAGAAAAAAAAAAGAAAGAAAAAGACAACAAGACTCCTAAGTACAGACTTCAGTAAAGCCTCTGTCATATCAACCTTCTGTGAAGGGGCAGAAACATGGCTCTGATAACAGCTGGGACTACACACCTAAGTCTTTTGAGAATAATTGTAAAAGTAAATGTTTTTTTATTTATATAACGCAATTATATTTTTATCTGTTCAACCTCCAAAGTTCAGCATCAAGTGTTAAAGTTAATTTACTAGCCTTATCATGGAAATATCTGATACACACAGATATACCGTTTATATCTAGCTTCTTTTTTAAAAGAGATCAGGGTCAGGCAGAGATTGTGTGTCTTGCTCAAGCGCAGTTTGGCTGATATCAGGGGATCACCAAAGTTAGTACTAAGGATGTTACGGTGTGGAAACTTTACAACCATGTAATAAACTCCGGCGTGTCGGCTCAATATTGGTATTACTTCCAGATGCTGCCGTATTCATCAGACATACTTTTCATATTGCCTCATTAATGTTATCAGGTTCCCTTTTGGCATTTAAATCTAACATATTGCCAAACAGGAGGTTTTGCTTTTCGCTTTGACACCAAGTCCTTAGCCACTGTCTCGTCTAGTCAACTCTCAGCTCACATGATAAAACTCTGCTACTCTACTACTGTGGCATCCCTACTCAGTACAATTCATCCTCTAGGCACCATGAACATCTGTTCAACCACCAGACCATAGAGCGATGCAGCACTATGTCCTAAAACTAAACTAAAACTGTCCCATTTTTTTTTGTCACTTTACCTAGACGGAAAAAAACATCAGTTACGAAATGATGTCAAGTGCCCAGAGACCGCGATGTAATCATGTCATCTTTGCAATATTCCTGGAGTGAGGAACAGTGGATATTAAACAACACAGGACAGGCAGTAAGGAAGAAAGTACTGAAGGACCTTTCCATAACATATCCACAGTCCAAATCAGCTCTTGTCCTGGCTGCCGCTTGAACATCTGGCTTAATTGACTCAGTTAAGCATCTTCCTAGTGTCTTCTGGTTGAATAATAGTCTAACCTCATGGTGAGTAGGTTCATACCCAGGTTGTGGCTGATCAGGTTATGTGTGTGCAACACAAACCCCGGCCAGTCACCCCACTGAAACACCCCGGCTTCAGTTTTTAAGTCAATAAAAAGCTTGAAAGAAGGGTTCAAAAGTTTATCAGCCCCCCCCCCCAGGGCTGATTTAGGGAGCTCCAAAGACAGCTAATGAAGACAGAGAGGTGAGCGCCACAGCATCAGACTTCACAGGATTCAACCCTTAATGCCTTGGCTTCATCACACAGCGCTGTGCAGTTATCAGCTCGGGCCACGCTGCTCATTTCTTACACAAAATAGCTCTTGGCCGGGTGGAGAACTCGACTGACATGCATGACTGAAGTGTCTGGACTAGAGGGTTATGAAACCGTGATATGCACCAGGGTCTAGTCGACTGCAAAAACAACCACTGAACCATAAGCAGACAGTTATTATAGCATCCAGCTCCATCTTTGTATGCCACTCCCCCACTCTCTCCATCTATTGCTCTCCCCCCCTTAAACCCCCTCCTCCACCTCTGCCCATCACTGTCTGCGTCTGTGGCCCCAGGAAACACACACATCCATGCATAATTACACCCAAGGGTGGGACGAGGAGGGGGCCCAATGAAGTCTTATGCATAGCTTATGCGTAGCTGTGCATCCATGAATGTCAGAATCCTCATTTTCTCTGTGTGTTTATGTGACGAAGAGAGTTTTGACTGAGTAGGTAATCAGTGGAGAGCAGGTGGCCGAGTCCTCCCTCAGGAAAACTAAACCCAGCATCGAAGACAAACATACTGTAACATCTGCCATTTGCCTGTGTCAGCCGGTAGAAATAAACGGATTAAATGCATTTGCAACATAAACAAGAACAAAATACAAAAATAGTTTCATATTTCCATCCATTCATCTCTATTTAAAATTAAAAATGTTGTGAGATAGTTACCATTCAAAAAGTGACTGTAGCATCTCACCGTCACTAGATAAGTCTTTGATAGACAGAGAACTTCCAACTCGCCTTCCAACTTTAGTGTGTTTCTCTTGCAAAACCTAGTGGAAAACAGCCTGTTTTATTTCAGATATAGTCATCATAAAATGTTGGGTGACTGTTTTCCTCCCTGTGCCGAACAACTAGCATGCAGGATTTACAATGCCCGTAGAGATTCTGGCATGGCTGAGCCTCTGGAGGGTGAAATAACTGATCCAGCAAAGAATTTCTGCTGATGATGGAAACTGTTGTGATATTCCCGAAACTGATGTGCAGATCTGGATTTGTGGAAAAATCTGTGTGTGTTTAAATGTTTGGATCAATAGTTAGAAGCAACTCCTCTCATCTCACTCAGTTGCAGCTAATCTGTTAGGTAACACACACACACACACACACACACCTGGGGACATATGGGCACACAGACAGAAGTGTGCTTAAACATGCTAATTCAATTACATGCTAACTGCAGACAAAAAGACACACAACTACATAAAGCACACACCTCAAAGTCAAATTCAAATGCACATGTACACACAGCTGTGTGTTGCAACAGTGATGCCTGAAGGCAAACAATGATGCACGGAGATAGAAAATGACCGACCGACCCCCCCCCCCCCCGACAACGTGGCGATGAACGCATTCCAGAGACATGCAGGCTTGGACGCAATCACATACTGCTGTCCTCTCTCAGCTACAGAGCAGCCACCACACACACACACACACACACACACACACACACACACTGTGGGGAGGGAGAGTGGTCACCGTGGAGTCGCCTGAATTGCTAGGCCTCGCTGTTGGTTTGGATGCAGGGATGGATTTCACACACACACCACCCACACACACACACACACACACACACACACACACACACACACACACACAGTCAAGTACAAACAGTCGCACGTCGGACTCATTCCTCAACTGTTAACCCTTTTTTAATTCCTAATTATCTCTCCACTGACAGAGAGAGGAGCTGAAAGTTTACAAAGTGATTATGAACAGGTGACACATCTTTCTCTCCCATACATACACACACAAACACACACACACACACACACACACACACACACAGGCTTAAAAAACACAAGTAAAACCATACATGATTCATCAAAGTCTGAAAGATCTCTGCCCTTTATCAACTCAGTCTGCAAGATAATCTGAAGGCACGATAACACTCTGAAACACTTTCTTTTTCTGCTGGAAATAAAACGTCAGCATCAACTTGTTAGAGGTACAATACATGTGCTCTGCCAGCCTGCCACACAGCCTCTCACCCTGTTACAGCTGAGAGGGCTGAGAGAATGAAAATAGTCCTGGAGCAGCACTGCCAAATGTTATAATCAAGACCAGTATTTTTAGATTTGGCATACCATCTCAAGGACAAGGAAGCGCAGGCAGGGACACAGAAAGAGACAATAGCTGCCTCTATTATAATGGAGGTTTTCAGTTGCTCTGCATGGTTTCGACAAGTGTCACAGTGAAGACTTAATGCACATCCTCTTGCTATCATTAGATTTTAACAGCAACAAATGAATGAATGTCTTCACATAAAGACAATAGAAGGAAACAAAAGATCATTAAAGATATACTGACAAAAAAATTATGCTAAAAACATCACTCAATTGATTTAATTACACAGATCAAACACTGCAGGCACACTGCTCTGTTCAAACAGGACAGAAGGTAAAGTTTACTCACATGGTGTGTAAAATCCCTCAACCTGATCTCTGGAATACACCAGCTGCGAGTCGCTCTGAAAGAAGAAGGTAAGGAGCTCGGAGTCTGGTAAGAGCGCCACTGTGCCGGTATGTGTGCCTTGTGCTCCTGTGTGTGAGCGAGCCAAATAAACACTAACCTGAGCGTCTCTCCGCTCCTTAGGCTAATAAGATCCCCTCCTTCTCCTCCCACTGCTGAGGAGGACTCCACCCCCTCTGTCTAGAAGCAGGAAGAGAGTTGGGAGAGCAGGAAGCGAGCGCCTTTGCTTGTAATCACTTGATCTTCCTGACTCTCTCATTACCCTGAGTTTCTTTAGAAGTGCCATTTCCACTACCTATGGTAGTGACACCGTTAATCCGGGAAACTGAGCAATGTTTATTTATTTTTTTTTAATCCTGTTGATACTGTGGTACATGTAAAGTATCACCAATGATCATCATGACTAAAACACATATGGACACAAATCAGTTCTGTTAAAGTTCTATCTATCACTTCTGTGATTTCACAGCCAGGATTGATTTAGCTTTGAATGACAACTACTTTGTTTTTCTCTCCTTATTCCAAACAAACTGTCGCTGCAACTTCAGCAGATGCTGCTGAAAATATCAAATGCATCCTTCCTGTTCACGAGAGGACTTTTCCTGGAAAAGAGAGAGCAGCAAGTCTAGCACAATAAAAAAAACTCTCTTTTCCTGTGCAGTTCATGACTTAGACACAACTTCCTATGAATACAGTATAACTTTTTATAATTATATTATTGAAGCTGCAATGATTAATCGATTAATGGTGGAATAATGTAGACAGTGAAAAACTATCAAAACGCTCAATCTATGGAGAGATGCAAATATTCAGAAACTTTAACTTTACAATACAACACCAAGCCGTCCTTCTGCTGCTAAGCTAGCAAGCTACAAGACAGAAAAATGTCACAGAAACGCTGCTCAATCATTTGATGTCAGGAATATATCATCGCATTCCTAAGGAAACAAATCTCCATATATCTCCATATTTAAACGATATCGGACAGCTTTTCACCTTCCACCTTCTAATGTGGCCGTTCAGAACAAATATACACACACATTTGATTTTCCAACACGTCATACGAACCAGTTCTTTTGTAGAATAACCTTTAGGAAAATGTTTAAAAAATCTGATCTCAAAAGACTGCTGTCATATCTTTTACACAAACGCGGAAACGTACTGAGGCATGAGACCGACAGGTAAAATGTGCAGTGCATGTCTGAAAGGAGCAAATAATTTAAAAGACACCATCTTTGTACAGTTTAAATCAGTTTGAGAATATGAATAACACTATTACCTTAGAGAACATTAATGGCAGCATAATTAAGTGGATAAATGCTAGTAATTGACTGACTTCAGGGGGGGGGGTTTACCCTCTAAATAAGTTGGCATTTGTCTCCGTTCCTATCAGAAGTTTATTTCACTTACTGCACACCGTGGCTGAGCTGCCCTTCCTCCTTACAGTCCAAACACACACAGCAGTGCTTATTTAAAGAGTCAGCAGGGCGGAGTGCACCAGACCAACTTGTGGTGTACACACACACACACACACACACACACACACACTGAAACACATGTATACAAACTGACACACAGAATCAGGAACCCACACCCACGGTCTAAAGACAAACACACACATGCAGTGGTCAGTCAGTCTCCTGAGCAGCAGCAGCAGGGAGCGGACTTCCACTCGGACTCCGCACTGTAGAGGAAAAGCAAGTGTTTGCTCTGAAGTCCAAAACACACAGCGGGAGCCAGAGGGATAGGATGATAAATATTTCAGCTAGGTCAACAAATTCCGACACCTTTTCTGCCGCCGTTAACACCATCAATCACACTCTCCTCCCTTCCTTCCTCCCCTCCCTTCCATCCATCCCTCCGAAGACTGGGCCTGGTTGACAATCACATACCTTTCTGTTTTTTCTTCCTCCTCTCAATTATGTAATTATGTTTTTTTTTTTTTTACCTTTTGTGTCATTCCTCTCTCCAACTTTCTTCCTCCCCTCCACTCAGTCCCTCTCACATCTAGAGAAAAGCTACACAATCTCTGTGCCTTGGGGAAATATTTTCAACATAATACCCTGTGAGCATCGCAGCGGCCCCTCCGGCAGTGGTAATGCACCTCCATGACAATGCACACCTTCGCTCGGAGACACAGTGGAGACAGGTGGATTAGGAGTATTAGTGCCTTGTCATTTGGCCAAATACTCTGTGATCCATGATGCACAGTCACATGCTTATTCCCCCCACACAATGATGAGTCTATATTGACACCACACTGGATGTTTTACTAACACACACACACCATTAGCTCTATTCACAATTCTCATTTTTGACACCAGCTGAAAATGTCTTTTTATAGTGTCCTCTAACAGAAGGCGAGGGGTGTAAAGTTACTGCAGCTCTAGCTCCTTTCTCTCATACCAAAATCATAAGCTCCCTCACTTGTTGCACCCACACACACACACACACACACACACACACATACCACAAGTGCAGGGACTCACATCTCACATTACTGCTCATATTACACACTGACATGCCCGAGCAGGGCCCGTCTCTGTCACCCTGCATCCTAGTTTAGTGCAGATACCAAACTGGAATCAATCTCCTGAGAAAATCAGATCTGGAAATGTATAACAGAGCTGACCTGAATGCTTTTCGCAGCAGACCGTTGCCATGGGAATCGACGTCCAAGTCAAGTAGAAACAGTAATCCGACATTATTCATTATGCATCAGCATTGATTACAATTACTTATTGTCAGACAAGAGCATTTAATCTCACTGATAGTTTTGTGCGTCACAGCTCTCCTCTAACGTTACCAGCACTGACACTGGGACTGTGTCACATGACCACGTGACAGGTTCACAAGTTAAAACACAATGTTAGCAACATGTAGAAACAGTCAAGCATCTGGAATAACTTTTAAAATTGTGAAAATGGCCCCCAAAAAAATTTAGGCTTCAAAGAAAGCTTCATTGACTTGATAACAGGTGGCAAGCACAAGCAGTTATGTCCATGGTCTTAAAACTTATCTGCTCAAATTTGCAATTCATGTCTTGACACTGGCCATGTAAATGGGATTATTTCACGAATGATAATAGACGGCAGTTGAAATTCAAATATCAGGTCTGGTTGGACTGACACTCAACATATGTTGACTTTCACATACTCAGTCGTGCTGCAAACAGACAAAGCAAATATTTTGGGCTTGTTTAAACATTAAGAGTTCTTTAGGGCAACACGTGACAGACCCCATGACCTACTTTTTTTTAATAATAAATATAAAAAATGAACAACCATACTGACTCACAGCAGAGAAAACTCTGTATTCAATGCAAATAAGGTGTGTTAATCTTTTAAAAGAGAGCAGTGACATTCGTGTCCCTGCTGGTCTGTATGAACTTTATATCCTCTTCGAACCATCAAGGGACATCTTACCTTGAACTATGCTCCTAGCACAGTGAAGGGCTCTACCTATATGTCTTTGCAAACACAGTGAAACAGGATCAAACCTTGTATTTGCGTTAGGTTAAACGATGGCAGAACTTGATCAACTGGTAGAGATTTCACCACCACAAAAGGTTACAGAGGTAGCTATTCTTATAACATCTCTGCTTGTCCTAGGCCACTGCAGGCAATATTTTAAATTAAAAAGGAACTTGTACATTAACCTTGAAAGATTTTATTCACACCGCCCACTTCTACTCAGTATTATAGCGGTACTCCAACAATTTGGTATAACACCTCCATAAAAGCTGAGGGTCAGCTAAGGTATCCTGACTTTTATGCCGTGTCTCAATTCATGTACTTCCATGCTTACACTTGCTATTTTGAGCGCATGAATGCATTCACAGTGACAAGTGCGGCAACAGGCAGTGCACTATAAATACCTGGATGTTTCACTCAAAATGGTCAAAAAAGTTGAGGGTAAAACGACAGACACTTCTCACCTACAACAGTTGCCATATCTTGGCTTCGTTGTGCAAGGGGAGGGACCGCCAACGTGTTTTCAAACTCCTGCGGTGCCAATGGCGGCATAACTTCCATGTATCATGACACAAAAGGCGCGCACAGGAAAGTAAAATGTTCATTTTCAAGGTCAAGGGAGCAAAGCGGTCGGCAGGCAGGCGTTGCGATTGTCATTTCCAGAGAGTGCACAACGGCAGTGTTTCATTTGGCAAAACACTACCCTGTCGGACTTAAGGCGCTACACCAGTGAGTACACCGTGTACACAGCGTACTACATGTGGGTGTACTGACTGAAGTATCCGATTTGAGAAACAGCAATAGTCTCTAATTAGGGTCAAGCCCCAAAAACACTGATATCGGACAATTCCCACAATTAGGGCTGCAATAATGATTATTTCCATGATCAATTACTCAATTAATCATTTGGTCTACATATCCAAAAGATATTTGATTTAGTGTCATATGAAACAAAGAACACCAGCAAATCCTCATATTTGAAATCCTAAATGAAGCAGTCATGTTTTCAAACTTTAGAAAGCTCCCTAAAAAGCCACAACTAACTTTGCTTTCACCGGCTAAGTACTGTGAAGCTTAAACTGAACTTCATGTGTAAAAATCACTAAAAATGCATCACTGTAAAACTTTCAAGAGGAATGTGTTATAATTTTCATTGTGTTGAAAGTACACAACTTGTGTTTTTTACAGTTTACATTTACAGTACAATACAATACAACTGATAACCGCATCTTGACCTTTTCCTCTGAGTTGATTTGGACTGTGATACCCTCACGTGTAACTCTACAGACAGTCTGCAGCTATATAAAGACAGTATTGTAACAGTGATCCCAACAACAGGGATCTATAACACACAGACATGTTTGAAGCTGTTTGTTGGAGCTCTCTGGTTAATAGGTCAGTGGGTCCAGTGTGGAGGGGGGCAGGGTAAATAATGGTTAACCAGAAGCATGTTAGTGACCTCTATACAGCCCAAGGCGCTGACAACAGGCAAACGGCAGTCTCTCAAATGTGTAGCGAGGAAGCATGGCCCTCTGGGAATGATGAAGCGAAGGTTGGCATCCAGACTGCTGTCGTTTGTCTTGGAGG